GCCTGCAGTGAGGAGCACTCACGGGGCTACACTGGTGAGTTCTGTGCCCCAGGCCCCAGCAGGCACCCCTGGAGCTGCCGTCCTGACGTCTGGCCTGGACTGGCCCTGTCCGCCCCGAGCTGCCGGTGACCAGGGTCACGCAGCCTCCTCTTACCGACGCGGTGAGGGGCCGGCCAGCCGTGCACACAGTTGGCACCTCTCATGGACACTGCCGTCCCTCTGCCCATTGTGTTGATGGGCTTCTGGGCCATCTGCGGCGTGGCTCACACGAATGTCCCGCTCCCAGCGTCCCGGTGCGTGTCCTTGCTGCCCGTGACTCCTTGGGGGGAGGGGGCTTGGAGCTCCTGGCCAGGGTGAGCGTGGGTCTACCAACGTGGCTGCACGCTTTCCATGCCCGCGCTCGGCCTGGAGTGCGGCCGTGGGCCGGGGTCCTTGCTGGTGGCCGGGCGACCTCGGTCCTGCTGCTGCCTTCTCCTTACTGATCTGCGGGCTGACCTTACAGAATCCGGACACGCCTGGCCAGCCACGTGGCTCACAGCTGTCTTGGCACCCTGGGGCCCACTTCTCCACTCTGCATGGAGCTCTGTGAGGAGCAGAGACCACTTAGGCACTTTCTCTTTCAGGAAGAGTGCCTTCGAGGCCACGAGGGAATGCCACAGCCACCGTTTTTAGCGTAAATCTCTGTCTCGCGGCCCCTGACTCTAGGCTGTGCTCCTGCAAGCTCGGGATCTCCCTGATGGCGTCACCTCACATGCAGGCCCACCCCGGAATGGGGGCCCATGGCGAGTCCAGCGAGCCTGCCAGGGGGCTCCATGGCAGGCTGAGGGGTGAACCCCGGCCAGCCCCATCAGCAGAAAGATGCTGAGTGGACCAGAACCTGGGAGTCACATGTGAGGCCTTCAGAGGGACGGGTGGCTGGGAACGGCCTGCGTGTGGGCCTCGGGGGGGACAACGAGGCGTTTGGGTCTGAAGGGAGGTCAGGGGCACCAAAAGGCCCAAGGCCGGATGCTCCTGTCCCCACCTCGTCCATTCCCAGGAACTCCCTGGGGGAAGTCCAGGAGAACTGGGCGCTCCTGGATCCTTGACAGCCTCTGGAGCAGGGTGGGGCCTGCCCTGCCCACGCCAGAGCCACAGGGCTGGGGCCTGGGCTGGGAGTGTGGGTGTAGGAGCCCGGTGCACAAGGGAGGGCCTGGCACGAAGCCCTGTTGCCTGACGGTTTCTGGGGCTCCTCACCACCACCACCCGTGACCCCAGCTCCTGTGGGACGGGCTGAGTCCGGGGCACTGGACCGCATGGACCCCGGGACACTTGTCGTGGTGAGATGGGTGGGAATGGATGCAGAGGTCACGCGGAGGCTACGTGGCTTCAGACATTTCTGGAGGGGGTTGGAGATACCTGCATTGCTGAGCTGACAGGCCTCAGGGGTCTGGGCAGTGCCGTGTGGGGGCGGGGAGGCAGAAGGGTCCCCGCCGGTCCCTGGCGCTGGCCTAGCGGTGAGGGTGCCCTGCGTCCAGGCCCCGGGAGGGGTCTGGCAAGAAGGGGGCGGCAGCCATCAGGGCAAGCATGCTTTCAAACCCCACCTGTGTTGCAAGGGGCTTCTCGAATTTCCACCAAGATTTATTTGAAAAGAAGTGACATGTGAAACCAGAACAGGGTGTGAGGGCAAAGCAGTGTTTTGGAGTCTGAAGCTCTAAAGAAAGTGGAAAGGAAACCTTTCTTTGTTCTGTAATCAGTGTCCTGACCGCGAGGTGGGAACAGGGGCACAGGGTTCCCACCCGCTCCCTGGAGAGGAGATATGAAAGTCCCCGCCAGCCACCGTGGGTTCCCCGGGGAGGGGGGGTTTGGCTGCAGTGGAATTCCTCCATGTTAAAGGGTTATAAACCCTGGTTAGCACTCAAGTCCTATATGCTTTCTAACTTCTAGGTTCTCTTAACACGACTTGCTTATCTCAAAAAATAAAGCCCAGCAAGGTCTCCAAGGAGCTCTGGAGGTGGGATCCCGCCTTCCTGGCTTCCAATTCCTGGCTGCAGGCCCTCCTTCAGCACCGCCTCGGCGGGACCTGCCCCCCAGAGTGGGTGGCCCCAGAGTCCCCCACAGGACGTCCTGAGCTGGGGACTGGCAGAGGCCATCAGAACAACCCTCCAGGGGGCAGTGGAGGTCACGCAGAGGACAGGGTTTTTACGATATGGCCATCTGTCCCTTCAAAACCAGGAGGTTTTCCTAGAGCTATAAAATTATCTTATTTTGAAAGATTTCCAACCTACAGAAAAGTGCAAGACGACTGTGGGAGCCACACAACCCAGCTGACCCCATAACGTCCTCTGCAGCTTTCCCTGCCAGGCCCGCAGATTCTCGCTTCTGTGTCCTCAGGTGACAGTGACGTGTTGGAGGAGTCAGGCATTGTTTGCAGAACCCCAGAACCGGTCCAGGGCTCAGGGCGGAGAGCCTGCCCCGCCCTCCTCAGAGCCGGAGTTGTGTCCCCGGGGCAGGCTGCAGGGCTTGTGAGCCGGGAAGCCACCCAGACGCGGGCGGTCACAGGGTGTGCGCCTGGGGCCAGGGGCCAAGGGCTCCAGCTGAGAGCCGGGGCGGGGGCGGGGCAGACACTGGGTCTGGCCTGCGCCTCTGCGCTGCCCGCCACCCCACTGCTGCAGCCCCCTTCCTGAGCCACGGCAGGAGGGCAGGAGACGGTGGGATCTTGGGTGGTCCCCTCAGAGAGAATTCTCCCCGCCCTGCCAGCCAGGAGAGTCCAGTTGCCACAGAGCCGTGAAAGGCTCCTGAAGTGACCTCTCCCCTCCCGGACTTCTGTCCCCTGCTGTCCTCACCTTGCCCCCTGCCAGGGACGGCTCACCACAGTTTGCTCTGAAGAAGTAACTTTGGTTTTAAGTAAAGGGGCCTCCCTCCCCTCCCCCTGCCTCTGGAGCATCTCGGGTTCCTTCTGCTCGCCCTCTTCCTCCCCTCCTTTCTCCCCGCCCCCCATTTCCTTCCTCTCCCTTCTCCCCGCCCTCCCGCCCTCCCAGCGGGCTTGGCTCTCAGTCCAGTAGCCTTGTGGGGCATCTCCCTTTGTGGCAGGAGCTGACCTTTTCAGGATTAGCCCCAGGCCCACAGAGGTGAGCACCCGCGTGGGGGCCAGGATCTTCCAGCCTATAGCCGCTGACTTCCTAGGAGAGGTGGTCTTGGTCTCCTGGGGCTGGTCTCTGCCCTGGACCCGGGGCAGGTCTCTGCCCTGGACCCGGGGCAGTCAGCACCCCATCCCTTGCATATCCTCCCTGGTGGTTCCTGGACAGCAGGCTCCCAGCCCGGAAGGATGAGCTGAACTCTTGGGCCGGGAAGGTTGGAGGATCAGCCATGGCCTCTGAAAAAGGGAGAAGAGAGTCACCCCCCAGCCCCCTGTGAATGACCCTTCACCTCTGGACCTCAGTTCCTCATCTGTAAAGGCGTGGGTCCCACTGGTGAGCTCCTGTGGTCACCTGGCCCTGGTCACAGACCATTTAGTCTTGCTTGAGAGCTCCCCGCATCCCGGGGTCAATAGATTTGGTGAGTGCTGAGTGCAGAGGCTCAGTCAGGGCCGGGCAAGCCTGTTTCCACACTCCTACCCTTCAGCACCACACTCCGCAGCTTTGCTGAGCACCGCCCAGACTTCTTCGACAAAGCCGGCTCTTCCCTGAGAAGGACCCCTGGAAACCCTTCTATACTCTGGCGGGGGGTAGCCTTCTCCCCACCTTTCTTGCGGCTGCCCTAGGGAGGCAGCTGAAGGCACCTCCGCCTTCTGACACTCCTGACCCCTGCCACAGGACTCCGTACCTCTCTGTGGAAGCCGGGGTGTGAGGGTACACAGGGCAGTCCTGGGCAGCCCACGGGCCCAGGCCACCCGGGGAAGCTGGTGCTGGTGCTGGGTGGGGCCGGGAGCCTGGGGCCACCTGACCGACTTCTTTTGATTTTAATTGAGAATGGACTTTCTGATTTTGGTTTTATGTTGTTTGTTGTTAATATGAAAATATGCAGAGAAAACGCAGACCTTTGTAATGCCAAGGCCCAGGCCCAGAGATAACCGCTGACCTTCCTGCGGACTGTTCCGGGCGCATTTTTCAGCCATGATGGCCCCTCCTGGTGATCCTGTTGCAGTGCGTGGTGACCTTGCTTTGCCCTCCTGCGTTGCTGCGTCCTGGCCGTGAAACGCTATCTGTTCGGCTCCTTGCGCCTAGACGCCATCACCGCTTGGATGCAGAACTTATTTTCACTTTGATGAACATTTTATTGTTCTTTCCACATGTCCTTTGTTCAGGAGCTGGAAGACGCAGGCCAGTGGCGGCCTGGGGGGTGCCTGGCTGGGGTCCGAGCCGCCCTCGCGGGCCCTTCCTTCCCTTCCCTGGCTGCCCCGGCAGGGCCCAGACAAGGAAAGGGAGGGCTCCCCAGGGTACAGGCTGGGAAGCACTCCCTTGAGCGGAGGGGAGAGGCCTGGGGTCCTCTCCGGGCCGGGGCCTGTCTCAGGCCCTTGGTAACTTGTCTGGGTTATGTCCCTTGAGGACGGAACCCCCACAGCAGCCCGACAGCCGCCCACACAGCGGCCTCCGCTCCCCACCCTGTGCCCTTGCTAAGCATGGCTCCCTCCGGTTGGAAACCCCTGCGCTGGGGGCGCCTGAGCCGGGCACGGAGGGAGAGCGGAGACCAGATCCCCGCTTGGGTGGGGGGTACTGCCCTGTCCTCTAGGGATCCAGACTGCGTGGGGGGACCCTGCGGGCAGGGGCCAGCTGGGGGCACGGTGGCAGCGAGGATAGGGCGGGCAAAGGCCTGCTCCGGGCGGGCCGGGCGACGCTGGGGGAGGGGGCGCCCTGGGCGCGCGGTCGGTCCCGGAGGGCAGGCGGGGGAGGGGACCTCCGAGGAAGGCGCCCCGCCCCGCCCCGCCCCGCTGAGCGCAAACTTTTCCGGAGGCCGAAGGGACGGCAGGTGAGGTCACGTGGTCAGGGGCGGGGCGAGCCAGGCCGGGGGCGGACCGCGCGGACCCCGCCCCTGCGCCCAAGTCCCGCGGCGCGTCGGCCTCTAGAGCGCGGGCCGGAGCGGAGACCGGAGCGCCATGCCCACCAACTTCACTGTGGTGCCGGTGGAGGCGAGGGCGGACGGCGGCCCGGACGAGGCGGCCGAGGGGGCCGAGGCGGCCGGGGGGGCCGAGGGCACCGAGGCGCCGGGCCCCCCCGAGGGCGAGCCCGACTGCCAGAGCCCGGGTGAGCGCGGCCGCACCTGCCCGCCGGACAAAGGCGGAGCCGGGCTGCGCGGGGCCCGGGGACGGCCGGGAGGGGGGGCGGCCCCGGGGGGGGCCGAGGGCGACCCGGGAGGAGTCTAGAGGAGGGGGACGCAGCGAGGTCGGCCCGAGGCAGGCTGCTTTCCACCCACTCTCCCCAGTCCCTTCCCTCCGGGGTCCCCCCAGCCGTTCCTCTGCCTCACCACTACGTCTCGCCTCCCACGAAGCCCCTCTTGCGCCCCCCGCACCCCTCCAGCCCGCAAACTCCCCTCACAGGCTTATCCCGGGGACGCAGGGCTCCTGCCGCGCCCAGTACTCCGGGGGCTGTGGGCTCAGCTTGGCTGCTCCGTGCCTGGCCCACCCCACTGGGACCCTGGAAGCACCTTCTCTCCCGCACTCTGGGTGGGGCGGGAGCTGGGGTGGGACGCCCGGGGTAGCTATGGAAACGGGGAGGGGCCTCCGCCTGCGTGAGAACATCCAGGGCCCCCAGGTCCCGGGCGGTCCCGGTAGGGCCGCCAGAGTGCCTTCCTGCTTCCTTCCTGTTGCCTTTGCTCTTGCGTGCTGGGGCAAAGGGCCTCTGGTCCGATAAGCGCGGCCGAGAGGCCAGGTCTGTGCGCCGCCTGATTGCCCACGAACCCGCTCTTTTGTGGGGTCATCCGCAGGAAGGTCGGCTGGTCCCCAGCGGGGCTGGGGGAGGCGCCGCCCCATCCCAGCAGAGCTGTGCTCTGCCCCGGGCTCTCCCATACCCGCTTTGTTTCTGGACTCCAGAGGCGTCCAGCGCTTTCACTTTCTCTTGGGGGGATCCCCCAGGCCTGCTCCCTCTGTCCTCCAGGCTCCAAACCCCAGGTTCCCTGGAGTGGATGAATGGGTCGCCCCCCGTAGGTATCCTCTAGAATTGGGGGGTCCTCTGAGAACAGTCCACAGCCGCGGGTCTCACTCCACTGCGTTTGGGTCGAGGCTCCCTGCTCCCGGTGGCCCAGACCCCTGGGGCCAGGCCAGGCACCTTGTGAGGGCACCCACCATCAGGTGCACCCCCTCCCTAGGTGTCCCTCCCATCTGCGGGATGAGGCCCCTGTCCAGCTTTCCTGTGTGTGTCCTGGGGCCTGGGACAGGTCGTGGCCCCCTCCTGGCTCGAGGGTTGCAGACTAGGTGTCAGGTTAAGGCAGGGTCTGCACCCAGCCTCTCCTTGGTTCTGAGCGCACTCTGGCATCGTCCCCCTGGGTGAGCCCTGTCCTAGCGGCCACCAGAAGTGCATCGCGTTTCCAGGGGAGCCTCCATGCCTGCATGTCCCGCTCCCCATCCGCTGGCCCCTTCTTGGGCGGACTGTGGTCCTTTCTTTCCAGACTTGGAGTGTGTCTTGTTTTGAACCCGGGGTAATTTTCTTCCTGCTCGTTTCCTTGTCCCTCCATTTAGGAGCTCCACACAGTGGTCTTGGGCCTGTGGGCTCAAGAGCCAGGTACTGCAGCTGCCAGGAGGGCTGGGCGTCTTACCCATCAGGGCTGGTGGGGGGCCTGGTCTTGAGACCCCGCCTGCCCTCACTGAGTGCTGCCCACGGTCTCAGCCTTCGTCCCCTTCCCTTCCTGCCAAGGGCTCGCCAGGAATCTCAGCGCCTCGCGTGACCTCACGTGGACGTGGGCTTTGTGCTCACCTCGTAATGAAGCTTGCCATCTGAGCTGAGCCAGCACAGAAGTTACCTGGGTCTTTGACATTTTGTGCTCTACACTCTTGCTTTTCCCGCGGAAAGAGACAGGGTAGCGTCCCCCGCGTGTTACTGTGTGCTTGTCTTTGGGGATTCTGCTACGGCGGGCTTTGATGTTTCACATGAGGTTCTGGAGTGCAGTTGGTGCTCACAGGTAACGTGTGACCGGCACTGTGTCATCAGCCTATGAGGGGGCTGTCAGGGAAGGTCCTTAGCGAGCTGGGAAGGCCAGACTGGAGCCCCTCCTGAAGGCCCACTTTGCGGGCCAGGGTGCAGGGTGCAGGGTGCAGGGTGCACGCCCCAAGGTCCCAGCAGTGGCCACATCTGGCCCCCTCACAGGATTGCTGGCACTCAGGCCAGTCCCCCGGGGAATTTCCCGGCTTTCTGGGTGGACCTCCCGGTGGTGGTAAAGCAAGGCTGGGGAGACCCTCCTGGGGTGTTTCTGGAAGCCCTGGGCTGTCTGGTAAGAGGAGGCCTGAGACCCTGTAGGTTGAGGGCCCAGGGTGTGCTGAGAGTGACTGGCAGGCTGGGAGGAGTGGCCTGGCAGAGCTCAGCGGGACCGTGGGGTCTGCCCTGCCTCGGTGAGGGCCAGTGAACTGTGACCCAGGGCTGGAAGGAACCTGAACGCACCCAGACTGCTGTTCCATGCACCCCAGGCAGATGCTGGTGTCCAATGCCTCCTGAGGCCGGGTCCTGTCCCCCCCCGCCCAGGCCTTCAATGCGCAGGCCGGAGGAAGCCAAGCACTGACCTTAACCCCCCTGCCGCGTTGCCCCCGGCCCTGCCCCTCCAGGTAGGCCTGTGGTGGGTGCTTTAGAGCCGGGGGACGGGGCTCTTGACCCGGGTGGTGCTCCAGGGAGGCCTGGGCCCAGGGAGGGTTGGCACAGGAAGTGGAGGCCAGGATCAGCATCCTGCTTTGGACCCTCCCCACCCTCTGCCAGTGAGGTGGGGATGTGTTCTGGAATGACAGTTTGTCTTGCCGAGGGTCCTGTGCCTCGTCAGGACATTTATTCTGCGTTTTCTTGTGATTGGAGATTGCAAGTGGGCAGGATGGACTCTGTGTGTCTCTCTGGTGTTTGTTGGTGAAATACTTCTCAGGGGAGGTGGCGAGGAGTGGGGTGCTTTCCTAAGTTCCAAGTGTGGGGTTTTTACCAACTTCAGGGAACCCATGTGGCTGTTGGGCCTGGGTGGAGCCCCTCCTGGGCCTTGGGGGGGCCCCTGGGTCAGGCAGGTGCGCATGTGAGGCATGGCCACAGGCTGTGGGCCCCCACGGAGGTCGGGCTCAGCCCGTGGAGGGCGAGGGCTGACTGGACGGCTGCCCTGTGTCCCCGTCCCTGGCTGAGACTGTCCAGCCTCCTTGTCTCGGTGACTTCCGCTCTGCAGCTCAGCTCCTGTTGGGCACCCAGGGGTCTCTTCCCCACCTGCTAAGAGGCGGGGGGTACTGTGCTTCCCGGAGGCACTCACCCGGATGGTCCCGGGCAGCGTCACCCACGCTCTGCCAGGGCGTGTGGCGGGCTGGCCATCGGCAGTGGGCCGCACTCAGGCCATGACCCCAGACCTCAAGCAACGTTTCTGTTGGCATGTGGCTGCTGACGGGTTGGGCGGGGGTTCCTGGAACAGCGTGGTCAAGGAGTGAGGACAACAGGGCTTCCAGGTTTGGTTCTGCTGGGCGAGGACGCGGGGTTTCAGGACGGAAGGACAGCATCCTGGCGGCCGTCTGAGCAGAAAGGACAAGCCATGCGGCTGTCCCGTTGACAGCGCCTCCGAGCACCGTCTTGGGGAGTGGCTGTTAGCAGTCCCGTGTTGTTCAGGGAGATGTCACAGTGTTAGACCCCGGGTGGGGGCCAGGGCCACCACCCACGGTTCTGTGTACGGGGAGCAAAGAGGGGAAGCTCACCGAGGAGCGTGTGCAGCCGAGTGCTTGCTCACACAGCCTCTGTGCACCTGTCGAGGTTCCCGATGGCCTCCAGGGGACAGGCCCTTTTCTTGAATAAGTCCCCCCGCCGAGCCCATGTGTGTGTGCGTGTTGTCTGCGCACACGTGAGCCTTGTGTGCATGTTTGTATGTGCACATGTGGGTCTTGGTGTATGTGGGTGTGTGCACACGGGTCTGGAGGTGTGCGTGTTTGCACGTGTGTACGTGTGGTCTCTGGGCACATGGGCACGTTTGTGTGCATAAACATGGAGGTGGGTACAGGGGCTTGGTCACATGGTGCTGGCTGTTCCTTCCCCCGGCCCCCAGCGGGCCCCGGCTCGTGGAGGGGCTGGAGGTGCGCCTCCGGGGTGCCCGCCGGCTGTGGGGGCAGCGGTGAGACACGCCTGTGTCTCTGATCTGAGAGCTGTTCCCGTGACCGGTACCAGGGGCCTTGCTACCTAGATCTAGGTCTGTGTTCTGGAAAGTTCTCAGACCCTCTCAGTTTGTACCCGCTGAGCTGGAGCAGGTATCTGAGCTGTGGACACAGCGGCGTCACTGCTCGGGGAAGTGGGGGTGTGCGCCATGAGTCTGGGCACGAGGGACGCCTCTGAGGGTCTGGCTCCCGTGGCAGCCGCCCGAGGGGTCCGCTGGGTGCCCGTCACCGGCAGCTGCCATCCGTCCTGTGAGTTAGTGTGTGTGCGCCCCCCCCCCACTCCATCACGGCCTGCGGCGCGTCGGCGAGCAGACCGGGCCGTGCTCCCCTTGTGGGCGCGCAGAGGCTGTGGGACCGGCGCGTGATGTACGGTGCCCTGGGGAGGGTGGGGCGCCATGAGCTGCTGGCTGCTGGCGTGGCCTCACGGGAGGGGCGCTTGGGTGCTGGGCATGGGGGTGCCAGCGGCGAGAGTGGCCAGGAGGGCCAGGCCCCTCCATGCGGAGACCGTGGGTGTCGGGGCCCTTCGGTTCTGATGTCCCTGGCCGTGGGGCGTGAGCTGCAGTCTCCCCGTGGGGGTGGGGGCGCCCCGGAGGCTGGAACTGGCCCGTCCTGGTGAACCCGCCACCCACCAGCTGCTGTTCATAAGGTGGGCGGGGCCGGGAGCAGGGAGCAGCTGACCCCGCAGACCGACCCTCTGCCCCTCAGCGCTCTCCGGTGACGGGCACGGGGGCCTGTGGCTGGCTGAGGGTGATGCGGACCAGCAGCCTGCCCCCCGCAGTGCAGCCCCCGGCTGAACGCGAAAAGCAGCGGTCTGGGGGGTGAGCCTGGCCCAGACAGAGAGGCGCGATGAGTCAGGGTTTACAGCCACGGGACACTGAGATGGCCCGGGGGAATTCCGTGGAAGGGCCGGCGGGGCGGGGGTGGTGGCTGGAGGAGCGC